CAGAGAAGGGCATGATAATCAACTTTTTCTGCAGTCTCCGGAACATTGCCTTGGTGGCTCAAATTATTAGATGCCCATGGACAACAGTTAAGAGCTTTCTTGTCTGGGAATATGAATGCCAATCTCATGAAAATCTCCCTCTTCCCGGTTGCATCCCCATTTTAAGTGGTCAACAGTATCGTACAATTATACAGGCAGCCAAGTTCAACCAGAAAATGACCAAATGCGCCTTCAGGGATTGCTATCCACCCAGTGTTTTTCTTGATACTGGTAACTCTTTGTGCTACCCTGAGTAACTGAATATGATTGCCTACTAAATTTACCTGCATAGTAGACCGGGTACTCAGAGAAGGAAATATTAAAAAATCGATAGCCAAGTTAAGAGCTAGGCTAAAGCCTGATCATGTGGATCAGAGATTGAGATGGGCTACAGCTCATAGGTACTGGACAGCTGAGGATTTTGAAGGGGTAATTTGGAGTAATAAGTATAGTGTGGAGAAATCTAAGGATCCAAAGCAACAATGAGTATTCAGAGAACCTGCAGAGAAGTGGTTGGCTGATTGTGTACACCCAAAGGAGAAGGATAAGGGAATCTCACTTATGGTTTGGGAGTGCTTTTGGGGTAAAAGAAAAGGTCCATTAGTTCCTATTACTCAAACTATCAATAAGATCAGGTATGTTAGACTTTTGAGCAGATATCTGTCATGAATATGGCTTGGCATAGAAAAGAATTTCACATGACTCAGGATTTCGAGTCATAGGTATGTTATTGTTTCGTGCATATGACTGATTTGGGTCATATGATTTAGTATGTTATGATTGGTTATGTTTCGCATATCACTCGAATATAAGTCATGGGATGTGCGCCTAGCGCGTATGCCTTGCGAGTATGCCTTCCAGGTATGCCTTGCACATATGATTTATGTTTTACACATAACCTTGTTATGATATCATAAGTCTCACGCATATGACTCAATCGAGTCATATGATTTGTTTATTGTGTTATGATTAGTTTATAAGTTTTTACACATGACCTTGCTATGAGGTCATGGGTTTTGAGTGTGTGACCACTTTGGTCACATAATTAGTTTATTATGATTTGGTTTTAGGCTTGTGACTACTTTTGATCACATGACTATGGGCAGGAAGAAAACTATATTAGGAGGTCGATGCGGCTGAGGAGGATAGGTTCTTCACACTTTGTTCTAAGTACTTTTCCTCCTTCTTTCACCCCATGTCAGATGTGAAGGTTTGGTATAGTTCCAATCAGAGCCCTTGATTTCTATCTCACAATAGGCTTCAAGTCATTAACTTCGAACAGCCTTCGCGGGCTTCGTTGTTATACCTCCTCCTACGTTTGCTGGAAGTCTTTTCTTCCTTCTAGTTATCTTTTCGCTTGTTCACTACGGTCGCCTCCTCACGGTCGTAATGGCTAAGTGAGCCTCCGCTTACTCCGCCACATCCACTCTATGTTCGTCAGTGGTTCTGTCTCGTGCTGCCGAGAAGAAATTTGCCCTAAAGGCCGTAGTCTCTCACTTTCGGCATCACATCTCCATTCTTTCTCGGCGATTTCATTGCGCTGAGAAAGAAATATCTTCCTTATCAGCTACCCTCAAGAATGAACGTGCCTTTAATCGTGGTTATCTCACTATGTTGGCGGCTGAAGCTTCTACGGTTATCCCTTCCTCACCTGTCTCCTTAGTTGCTTCGGTTGCTATGGTGGTCTCAATTGGGCGGGGTGGGCTAGACCCTGAGAATTTTCAGGGTCAAGCGGAGGAGCTCCCTCAGGAGAATGCTGCGCCACCGGCTATCCCAGCCCCTCCTGCAGCTTCGGCTATGGGTGGTGGTATGGGTGGACTGGTTGCTGATTCGTCAGGTCCAGTTGAGGTGCTTGCTCCTGGTGTGGGTGGGATAGATCCTGGTGTGGTGACACCAGCTACAGTGGTATCACCCCCTTCGGGGGAGAAGGTGCCTGAGTCCTCTGGGGCTGAGCCTGTGGCTGGTCGTGGTAATGCCTCTAGTGGCATCCCCCCTGTGGCAGTGGGTAGTGATGAGAGTGGCCTGTTCACACCTGTTGCTAGACCTGCACCTGGGGGTGGGAAGAGAAAGAAAAACAAGAAGCGCCGGGTCAAACAAAACCAGACCTCACCTGTGCCACTTGTCTCCGACTTGGAAGGGTCATCGCCTTCACCAGTTCGCTACTGCAAACCGGCTACTACAGAGTCCACACTGGGTTCACCGCCAGTGGAGCAGTCTGAGGAGTTGGAGGAAGAGTTGAATACCTGGACTTGTTCAGCCAAGTGCTAGCAGTTTGGGGACTATCTCGTCCTGGCTGCTTCCGTCGAGGTTTTTGGACTACGCTACCGCTGAGGTGTCCTCCCGATTCTCTACGACGTTTCGTACCCCCTTGGCTAGGGAGCCTGCGCTCTGTAAGTTGGCTTTCCCTCGAGTTTAGGTGCTTGGGCTTTTGAGTGTTTCGTTTGTTTGGAATGCAGACAGGTGCTGGGGTGGTCAGCGGGGTGTCCCAGGATCATTGAGTGAGGGTGCTCAGGTGGGTTTCTATTGTAGAGGAGGTTATTGCGAGGTTACATTCAGGTGGCCATAGTGGAATTTTTGAATTTTGTATGGGTAACTTGGCTGGTGGGTAGGCTGGGCTGAGCAGGATTTTATTTACCATTGATAGTTTTGTACTTAGTGTTCGTGTTAAGGGCATGGCGTGGGCATGTTTGAGGTACGGGGCTGGAAGTTTAGTTAGTTCGTCGTTAGTGGTATCCAGGATACGACAACCTGGGGGCTCTGCCCTGGGACTCATCGTATGCCAGTGTTGGCGGTACGAGTTTAAATGAAATTAGATTGAATTCTAAGTACTTTTCCTACTTATTATTTTAACGAATATAAAACACCTTTACTATCTTTATCTTTATTGCAACACTATCGTTACGCCCAGGAAAGTTCTTTACAAAGAAGAGTTAGAGAAAGCTGATGATAGGTGTTCCTGGTAGAAGACAAAGGTCTTGTACTATTGGTAACATAGGCAGAGGCCTCATGCTATCGTAAGACTAAGGAAAGAAACAGAAGAAGAAAAGAAGTATCGTTCCCTATCGCCAAGAACTAACTATCCAATGAGGGATCGTTATAATATTTTTTTCCTATTATTCATCAAATAATTTCCTTTAGTATACAACTTGAAGATATTCTTTTTCAGCAAGATAAGCTCCTGTTCACAAGGCATATAGTGTTATGGATTGGTTGGAGAGAAATAGTATTGAGGTTGTGGACCACTCCCCTTATTCCCCTGATTTAAATCCTATTGAGCATGTATGGGTTGAGCTTAAAACGCGATTGCACTAGCAGTATCCAAGGATTGCAGATACACCAGGAGGAAAAGAGGCTGTTAGAAGAAGACTTGCACATATATTACCATTGGTTTGGGAGACAATTCCTGAAGAGTTTTGTGAGAAGTTGTGGAAATCAATGTCTGATAGGGTGGCTGCAATTTTAGAATCAAGGGGAGGTTATACAAAATATTAGCTAGTTTAATTTATGGCAGGTCAATTGACCGTTGAATGTTGAGAGGTGTCAGTCGTTGTTGATCTTGAACTTAAGCTTCCTTGCATGCATGCCCATTGACAACTCCACCGGCACTGCCCCACCATATGGCGCAACCGCAATTAAACGTTGTCTCAGATCACAAACACTTCTCTTGAGTGATTGTAGTATGTTCTTTGTGATTTTTTAGGCCAAGAATTCTCAGAAAATTGTTAGAAAAAATTTGAAAAAATATTAGCAGATCTCAAGTAGTTCTGGCTTTTTTATAAGATTTTTTTACAATATTTTTGGATTGTTTGAGGGGTAAAAAGACTGGGGAACTCTGTGCTAAAGTGAATATTTTGTTGATTGTTGCAATGTGAAACCTTGTGATGGTATGTTTTTGCCAAGAATGGTATTATAAAGGTACCCCCCTTTTTTCCATGGTATTTGAAAGGTTTTCTCGTTAGGAAAGTAACCTCCTTAGTCAGAGGATATCCTCTTTGCTAATTAGAGGAGCTCTTTGCCGGTAGGATAGAACATATGTATAAAGCCTGCGTCCATGAGTTGAAAGAGGGAAGAAAAGGTAAAATATCATGCAACGAGCACATCTAAATATATCGATAAAGGCAATCATCACAAGTATCCTTCTAGTAGCCCAGCTGCTTCTGGATATTTTTGCAATCCATTTTTATTCTCCATTTGTTTCCTGTCACTTTTTAGATCTTCTGTATTATCTGATCTCAATTTTCTGTTCTCTTCTCTCCTTTATCCTTTCCTCTTTTTCCCTTGATCAATCACAAAGATCCCCTCCGCTCTTTATACACTCCCATGGGGTGACCCTCATGCCTCACTGGAAACCTTAAGGGTTTCGCGACAACACTTGTCTATACAATTGCCACATCCCTTTTTTATGGTACCAACACTTTCAACCCGCGCAACGGCCTTTTTCAACACACCCTCCCATCACATATGTAAGAAAACTCAACAGAAAAACAAAGAGCCCCGAGTCCAGCATCGCAATCATAAAAGCTCGTGACAACTCATGAAGGGAATGGTATCTAAGATCGTGATGGTGGGCCAATGGGTATATCCGCGGGAGAAAAACCTGACATGCGAAAACTTTTGATGGAAAAACGCCGGATCACAACGATAATAAATAGCGGGAAAGAAAAACTGACGTCTAATGGGCGGTGTAGGAGTGGATGGGATGATGGGAAAGAGAAACGAACTTTTAATCCTTCTACCGCGGAAGATAAGGAAGCGCGAGGCAGACAATCATAAGTCGAGCAAACAGAGAAAACGAGACCAACGAAGCTGTTGAAAGCGGTTGGTGCTGCCCGTTCCGTGGAAGAAAACGTGTACAAAGAAAGGGTATTCTATAATGGACTTCGCCGAAGGAATTAATGGAAATTCCAGTCGTTCCCCATGGATATCCATCCACCAAGCCAGAACCTAAGCATGGATCTCCTCTGACATCCCTCCTCCGTCCTTCATTTCCCCAAAGGCCTTCGACGACATCTCCAGCACCGCCTCAAACCCCACCCTTCCTTTTAGCGCATTTTGTCCAAACCTCTCAACCGACCAATCCTCAATTGCCGCGCAAATCTTTGAGAAAGCACCATACGCCGTGATTTGTGCATCCTGTTGGAAACGAGTATTGGTCCCCGGGCTCGAAGGGTCTGGAGAGTAGACTACCGTCTCTTGAACAGAAATTATATTTGAGCCCGTGAGGTTCATAGAGCGGAGGGTTACGGTTTGTAGCTGAGGGTCGACTTCAGACACTTCTCTAACATAGGATTCTTCGGTGCCGCCGACGATTTTCATTAGCCAGCGGGGGGCATTTTGTTTACAGGTAATTAAGCGTTCAGTGCGGAGCTAATGGCGTTATGTTAGCTGGGGATCTAGTAATTCTTGGATAATCTTAGTTTACTCACGATTCCGGTGTTGGGATCAACACTACGGTTCAGAGTGTCGACGGCAACGACATGTGTGCTATGGGTGTTCCAGGAACCATATTTCCTCCAGTTCGCAATGGAGACGTTGGCCCACGGGTATTCAAAGATGCATGATGACTCAAAGACCTTCATATCCTGAGGTGGTTCTGTTTGTCTTATTCTATGATACGAAGGGAGGTGGAGTTCTGTGGATCATATGAGAAGGGTAGGAACAGAAAATGAAAGGAAAATAGTAAACGCAGAGGAGAGGGATATGACGAGTCTGTGTATTGATAAATAAGGAGGGAAAAGAAAGAAGTTGTGGAGATTTTAAGGAATAGTCGACAAGTTGAAGGACCGCGGTTTACGAGGCGCATCTAGAATTGGGGAAGAGAATACGGAAGTTTTCGACGAGGTGGTGGTGGCGTGCCGTGAATTCTTCAAACCCCGTGCCCGACTCAGCCCCGGGGGATGGATACCGTGAGACCGAAAAGGAAAGGGCCACTCGTGCCAAGTTTTTCAGCAAGGGCCGTGCGACCCCAAAAAGTTCGCTGGCTCACCTTTCTTGGCGGCACTTATCCCGAGTGCCTGACCGCTTAACATCAGTTTACATCTCAATTTAAGATTGTGACTCCGTTCAATGTTGTGGCTTAATTTTGTAGTTCAAGTTAGGATTGTGGCCTTATGAAATTAAAGTAGTAGATTTTTTAGTAATTTTATTAAACATTGATTTTCCTTTAATTTAGAAAAAAGTAGCTTTTTTTTCTTTTTTTTTTCTTTTTTGTTTCTATTACCTTGTTTTTATTAGTGTTCCAATAGTACAGTAAGATACGTGGATCTATTCAGGATTAGCTACCCAATATTGACCTAAAAGCTTTCCTCCTACTCAGGTCCTATAATGTCAGGAGAAAACCTTTAAAGCAAAAGCAAGTGAGTGTAAAAAACTCCTCTATATAGCTAGCTAGTTTATAGTAACTACCACCAACCTACCACATTCAAGCTATCAAAATAAACAAAATTCTCTACTATAACACTAACAGAACTCTAAAGACAATGGAAATAAGCCTTAAAATATTTGAAATACTATAAACCTCAAATCCATTCTATTGAGATAAGTTTTCTAGTACAAGTAGTTGGAACGTCTTGTTATTGGTCATGTGACTTACATTAAGTCTTAAAAATAATGAGTAGTATACACAAAGTAATCTAAACAGATAAGGAGAAATTCAGATAAGAAGTATACATACTTATAGTAAAGCAACTAGAGTAAGGTATAAGAACTAAAACTATTCAAATAATGAGACAGATCTGAGTGCTATAAGCATATATAGGGAGAGAGAACAGAGGTATTAGAATGTGAGATAAGAGAAGAAGTACTAAATATACTAGTAGATATAAGATATAAGATGTAAGATATTACATGTTAGCATAATTATCTCAATATTTTGTACTATAACAGTTAACTACATTAATACCATAAATCTTGTCATCCTCTTCAATTCTACCTTACTACCATAATAACTAACTAATGTTAGCAATACCTATTACCAGAGGCTGTAAATATAAATTAATAGCTTCCAAACATCTTGCCACCTATCAGAGAGGTTTTGTTATTATTAGTCAGAAGGGGGGGGATCACTATATTACAAAGTTTTCAAAAACTTCAAAATTTCAAAGTTATATACTATTTATATTATGCATAAAATACAACCTGTAGCATGGAAAGAAAATATTTAAAAATATACAGAAAGTGTAAAAAAGACCAAGATAATACTATATTAAAGCTAGGTAGGGATTAGAAAATAAATTTTTAAAATTATTACTAAAAAGATTATAGTAAAGTTAATTTGACATACTAGGAGGAAACTCTAGTAACAGGTACTGCTGTGGGAAAGAAAGATCACGGGATTGCGACAGCAGTAAGATGAATTCATTGGAGAAGAAATAGAATAAACTTACAACTTTTCATTAATAGAGTTTGAAGAAACAAAATAATAAAATGTAATATTTGTTAGAAATACCAGGAGCCAATACCTAGGAACTACCCAAAGTAGAGTAACCCCACTGGGAATCGGCATCTCTGGTCTCCAACACCCTCCTCCGGCCCCCATGTGGGACCTGCATGTTATTATACATATCAATCTCAGTTGCATCCTGTGACTATAATGCTAAAAAATAGAAGGTGTATTATTAACACCGTATATGTCACTGCCATCTCTCCGACCAGATCATGTTTGCAGAGTATATGAGAGGAGACCTTCCGCTAGGTCAGGGCAGTAGAAAGGAGTATATCCATCCACTACCCGGAGTGCTACCAGGCTTCAAAGATGTGTTTCTTTGGTATAGGCGCTAAGTAATGAGATATTTTAGCATGATGAGATGGTATTGAATGGTAAAGAATCTCAATGAGAAATCAATACATTCGCATCTACTCTACAATAACCAGAAGAGTCTAAAACTCTGAGAAACATTACCACAGAAGCTAATGGACTTCATAGAGTATTACAACTAGGTCCAAGAATGTGGTGAGAATGAGGAAATGATCCCTAATACTAGAATGGTAATTAAAACCCCGTAATCCAGAGTAACAGAGGGATTATGCATCAATTCGGTAGAATGGAATTCTGCGAATTAGTAGGAAGTCCTCAGAAAGATATCAGTTCATGGATATGGAGTTATGGAGGTTCAAAGTCGGACAACTTAAGAAGGTTGCAATCATGACTACCTACGCAGATACAACCTATAGATTAAACTGATCATTTCATGAATAATGGAGCCCATGGGGGCCACCCCAGTTCTACTTAAGAATTAGGTCATAAGTTAAAAGACTCTGATTATTGAATAATTACTATTAAGCACCACATGATTCCTACTTAGTAATACAGTTATTACCAAAGAGGGTGTGGTGATTTTCAGAGTCTCTAGGTATTCACATCTTAGAAGAATACCTGACATTGCGAGTTGTAATCAGAAAGGTACATAGTTGTATAATAGATAGATGTAGTCAATGAACACTCAGATGGGGAATATAAATATTTAAGTACCTGCAAATCTTTTAGACATCATCAAGGAAGGGAGAAGAGAACTTAACAATATAATATTAGTCTTACAATTCTATCTTACTTCACCTACTTTACTTTGCTCTTAGTAGTTATAAACGAAATGCATGTAATCTGAGCCTTCCTAGACAATCTCTGCCTATAGAAATGAATCTTGGTTGGCCTAGACAACTCTCAAGTCAATCAGGTTGTTTCCACCTAACTATATTGTTAAGCTACAGCTCTACTCAATCAAGTCCGAATATTGAGAAGTAGTCGATTGCTAGTCTAGAGGTGAACTGGTATATATTTAAGTAGATTTTATAAACTGCCAGTTGCTCCGCATCACTACAGTGCTCTCGTGAGCACTAAACACTATTGTACTATCTAGCTAACGTCTATGCGTCAGACCAAGGATTCTTCATGGTAAAAGAGACAAAGTTGTAGTTTCCTAACATTAATGTAACAGCAGTGTTTTAGCTACTACATCTACAATATAACTGTAGGAGTAAAAACAGTTCTTATTATGCACATGTCAGTAGTGGGCTGTCATGCCCAAGTGGATTCAATACCATCTATGAAACTCTCAACTAATATACACTTAGTCTTCTACAAGCATAAGCAGTGCCTAAACATTTATCCAGTTATACTCTATTCTATATCACGTTGGATGATGGCCATATAGCTCCCCCAATAGATCCCTTTGGAATTTGACTTCCAATTGGCCCTACCAAATGTTAAACCTCCTAGAAGTAGGTCTCATCGTAATCTCAGACTAGTGTCATAGAGTCCTTAACTATTCTCTGATACAATTACACTTTCGTAGCAATGGACTTTGGTTATCTTGCCTATAGGCCTCCAGTAACATCACATACTACTTCTAACTTCAAAGTGGGATTACTCCGTCAGTTCTGGTCTGTTTTGCATGAAACCACCTGGAGATCATTTTCAAGGTTTACCTCAGTCCTAGTATTTATACCCCACACCACCCGTTTTTGACTGGATGGCGTGAGTGTATATGTTATTACAGGAATGTCTCTACTTGTAGACTTTTACTAAACTTACATCAACTCTTCAAGATGTAGTCCATGATACTAGGGACTTATCACAGGGCTGAAGGAGGTGTTAGACACTATTCCTCTAAGTTACAGCTGGTTTGAAGCTTAACAGCTGGTATTAGAGTAATCTGCATAACCAGAGATTTGAGCACCATGTGCAGCTTCGTGTGATAAACAAGCTAGTAACTTCCTCAAAGACCTGCATAACAAGTTACTTTCAAGGTAGAGTAACCTGTCTCAATAGCAGGATAACTCAAGGCATAAGGAAGGGTAACTCTTTACCGAAGATAGAATAACCCTACCCGGACTCACTTTTGCCCCATTCTGAATAATTCTTAACTTCACTTGGGTTATTCTATCCAGTAGGGTAACCACCGTATCTTACTAGTGCCGATATACTTCTTTGTATGACATAGCATCTCCAACTGAGGTATGCCTTGTATGTATGATTTAAGCTTTGCACATGACCTCATTATATGGTCATTGGCTTTGTTCAAGTGACCACTTAGAGTCATATGACTTGTTTATTACGTTATGATTGGTTTATGAGTTTTTACACATGACCTTGTTACTAGTTCATGGGATTTGAGTATGTGACCACTTTGGTCATATAACTAGTTTGTCATGATTTGGTTTCACACATGTAACCACTTTGGGTCACATAACCTGAGGCGGAAAGAGCACTATATTTGGAGGGCAGTATGGCTGAGGAGGTTAGGCTTTTCACCCTTTATTCTAAGAGCTTTTCCTACCCTTACATTCACCACATCTCGGAAGTAGGCATACCAATACTTTATTATATTACTCTTACGACAAATACTTCATCACTGCGTTTATTTGTATTTTTTGTTTTGGTAGCCAGTGAGAAGTTGTTGATCTCACTTAGAAGGCATTTCAGTGTAATATATCTGTGGCCTGGTCCCAGTAAGCACTAAGTGTAGTTAGGGTGAGGATGTCATCTTCGACAGCCTCCTTCCCCAACGATTCTTCCCCTATAGCGAGCATATCGTCTCCCATTCAGTTCGACTCCAGCCCTTCCTCCTGGCTTGGGACTACCCATGTGATCTTGTCTCTCACGCCTGTCTTGGAGGCTGACCACGGCCTTATTCCTACAACTACACTGTCCTATGCTGCGCCCAAAGGAGACTTTAGCTTCCTACAGTTTCACCTCTGTCATGGGTATCAGAATACAGTAAACTAGCAGATTGATCATGAGGTTCTACAAGCAGTCGCTATTGTAGCCATTACCATGA